ACCTATTTTGCTGTCTTCATAACCAGCCTGCACATATTACAATGTCGAAAAACGAAATAATTAAAAGTCTAAAAAATTAAAAGTGATTTAGATATGGTTTTAAAGTTTCTTTTAGTTCGGACCGTAGAGAAAACTTCACTTTTTAACAATTTTTTTTTCCCGCTTTCTACATCGTTTTTATATCACGATTTATATCATTGTTATAATACCCACAACTAATTTTTTAGCCACTCATTTGGCTTAAAATTATCTGGTTTTATTACAATATTTATTTAGTCTTATTGGTATATTTATTAATATTTTACTTATCTTCTGATTTTCATATTATTATTGTTTACAGAAACTTTCATGTTATATTATCTTGCATTCATTACTCAGCTTTGTTTTAATTTTCACATGCACAATTTTTATCTTTATTATTATTCAGAGAATATTTTTATATCCTTCATTTAATGTTTACATATATGTCGCTTACACTTTTAAGGTTTTTGTGCAACGTTTTTTTTCGCTATCATATATTATTCTATTATTGTTATGATTTTGGGTTTCGCGGGTTACTCATTTTCCTACACTTTTGATTGATTATCATATTTCGAATGAGGTATCTATGACAGCGTTAGAGTTTATTTAAGGGTATTGTTTTGTTTGCTTTCTGATTACCTTGGGCTTGTTTATGCTAATAATACCTTTATGGTTTTATTCCTTAAAATAAATTGATTAATATTTTTATGTTTCTATTAGAATTTTAATTTATTTTGTTTTCATGTTTTCTTTTGGTGGTACGGTAAGTGTTTTATTTAGTTATTTTTATTTTTATTTTTATTTTTGTTTGTTCAGCAAATCTATACTTTTTATATCATATCAAAAAAAAAATATATTGGTGCTTTACAAATTTGGGGTTGGTTGGGTTTTGGCTATTTGTAGTGAGTCCTTTTGTACTGCAGTATGGAATAGGCGTAAGTCGCGGGGTTAAGCATAAGTGGCGATGACGTTTTTCTGACGGGATAAACTAGTTATAAATGCTGATCCTCATCGAAACGCCAGTAATAATAGACGCGACTCTGAGGAGATGTTTATTACTTAATCACTACACTAATTATGTTTACACATTAGCATTAATATTTTTTTTCTATTATTAGTCCTTTCATTGTTGTTAGCATATTGCTAATTTGTTGAATGGTTTTTTGTTTTACAAATTTTTGACTGGTTATGTATTTCTTGTATATTTTAGTTCATATTGGTATTTATAAAACATTTTTTTATTTTTATATATATATATATATATATATATATATATATATATATATATATATATATATATATATATATATATATATATATATATATATATATATATATATATATATATATATATATATCATATATATATATATATATATATATATATATATATATATATATATATATATATATATATATATATATATATATATATATATATATATATATATATATATATATATATATATATATATATATATATATATATATATATATATATATTTATTGGATCATAAGGGAAATTTTGGAGACATCACTAAAGAGGTAATGCTCTTTGAAACGACTTCCATCTGAAAAATCAGTCAAGACACCAGGTGTACACTTTTTCTCCAGAAACGCTTTTACATAAGCCTCATTCTGTAACAAATTAAATATAGTTTTTTTGATAGAAACATATTGGAACTTATCATATACAAATTTGCTATGCCCACAATGAGACTCTAATCGTGGCATATAGCAGATACTTTCAGGTTGAACCATAATAGGATGCCCTGCAAAATAAGAGTCAATGCGATAACGTGTTGATAAAAAATCAAGAGGATTATTGCATAGTTCTTATTTGGGTTGCATCTCTTGTGAAATTTGGTTAATAACTGCACGATCAATACTAGCTAATAATAAACTTTTATTAAATTCTTCTTTAAATTAAGATGATAGTGATCTATCCATATGATTATATGACTGGACTATTGTAGGTATGATACCATAAGGTATACTGCTATTTGCACGAAGTTGTGTTACAAGTGATGCTCCTTCATCTTTAAAATCCTGCAAAAAATCTAAACTATTTACAGACGAAACCACATCTAGATTAGGAGATGAATCTTTTAATTGGTTAATACAAGGGGCAGAATTGTCACATAGAAACAATTTTTCTGGATTTTCTTCTATAAATGCAGCTGCTTCACTGACTCTCTCTGTGTTTATTTGGTGGTGAGTATTTAAATGTCTAATAAAATTAAACAAAACTAAAAACGAACTTATGCACTTAAATAATTGTCGGTTATCTTTATGTCGCTGTAAATTAACCCTTAACTCAGAAATACTATTATAACCTTTATTGCAAAAATAACATAAAAACATTCTTAAAATATGCTAATTTCTTAAAAATAATTAAAACTTTTTAAACTCTATAAATGCTCGTGATGGCGGCTTAATTTATATCACGCGTTTCAGGCACATTATTTTACTCCACACTAATGTGCAATCTTTTAATTTTTATAGAATTTTCACTCAAATCAATTTTTCTGAAATAGTAACTCCACAAAATTGTGCAAATTACGGCCTCTACACTTAGTGTGGAGTTTTATGTCCACACTTTCCGCGAGAGTGTAGGGATAAGTTATTTATCCACATAAACAAAACATAAAATATTAAATACATTTAAGTCGTAAATATTTAGAATTCTCATTTCAATAAAATAATGCTACGAATGAGAGAAGCGATTTGCAAAATTGATTATACGGATTGCGCGTTTCTGACGGAGATAAAGACGTTGCAACTTACGTTTTTCTGTACTTCCCCAAGCAATATTGGCATGATTGGTGATTCCAAGTAATGTTTTCATCAAGATAAACACCTAAAAATTTTGTAACAAAATCTCTTTTTATTTCCTTTTGATTGATAAAGATTTGAGGTAATTTTGATGGCAGAAATCGCTTTTTTCTAATCGAATAAAATAAAAACCATTTTGTTTTATTAGTATTTAAGGTTAACTTATTACACTTGAACCAATTAGATATATGTCTGAGTTCTTTGTCCACTGTTTTAAAAAGTTCATCGATATCATAGTTAGAAAGGAACAAACTTGTATCATCTGCATACATAATGCTTCTTAGTTTTGAAGCTTTATTTAAGTCATTTATATAAATTAAAAAAAGAAGAGTTCCAAGAATTGAACCTTTTGGGATTTCACAAGTTATATTAAGAAAAAAGGGTTGATAATCATTGTTAAATGGTACAAATTGCTTTCGGTTAGATAGATAACATTTTAACCATTAAAAAAAATTTTTTTTTTTCGTAGTATTTGAGTTTATAAATTAAAACTAGGTGATCAACCGTATCAAAAGCTTCTGATAGGTCAATAAAAATTCCTAGTGAATATTGTGATTTTTTGAATGATTTTGAGATTTTACGTACAAATTGGATAATTTCATGTACATTTGAGTTATTTTTCTTGAAACCAAATTGATTGATGTAAAGTAGATTATTATCATGAAAATATTTGTATATTCTGTTAAACATAATTTTTTCTAAAATTTTCGAAAATGTGGAGAGAACAGGGATAGGGCGATAACTACTGATTTCAGGTTTATCCCCTTTTTTAAAAGTAGGAATAATTTTTTCAATTTTTAATTGTTCTGGGAATACTCCTTGATGGATGCAAGCCCTAAAGATTTAAAAAAGAACAACTTTAAGTTGTTCAAATCAATCTAAAACCACGTTTCCATTAATTTGATCTGCTCCAATTGCTTTAGTTTTTTTAACAGATTGAAAGGCCCTTTCAAACTCATCAAACAATTATTCGGAAGATAACTCATCTGAACAAATGTAACTATCCAGGGGTTCTAGATAGTCAGTAAACAAAGATTTGGTCTTTGGGATTTTTTTCAGACAGTGTTGGTCCTATATCAGTGAAATATTTGTTAAATTCTTCAGCTTTAGTTTTTGGTTCATATAAACTTTTGTTATCGACTCTAATCATTTGTGACAGAAAACCGGAGCATGGTTTATTTTTGCCAATAATTTCTTTAATTATTTGCCACGTGCGCTTTTTGTCGTTTTTTATTCAATAACTCAATAATTGGGAATAATAATTTTTCTTTAAATTTTTGCGAATTTTTTCAAATAGGTTTTTGCAGTTCTTATAGATTTTTTCGCTTGAAGCTGTTTTTGTTTTTAAAAAATATATGTATAACTTTTGTTTCATTCTGGATGATTTTTTAAAACCTTTAGTAATCCAGGATGTATTGATATTCTTAGTTGTTATTGTTTTTTCTACTATAGCGAAATTAAGTTCATATACAGAAAAAAATGTTTTGAAAAAAGTTTATAAATATTATTTGCGTTATCATCAAAATTTATGTTTTTCCAATGCAGTAATGGTATTTGTTCTTTAAATAATTTAATATTAGCCTCATTATAATTGCATTTTTTTTTTTTTTATATTAATGTTTCTTTCTGAGCTTGTTTTATTAAGTTTTAGGAATAGAGGAAAATGATTCGATATCTCACTATTATCTTTTATCTTGTTATTAATTTCTTTTATATTAATTATATTATTTGAGTTATCAATATTATCTTTATCATTCTTATCAAGTTGTTCAGTAATAATTTTCATGTTTGCAGCTTTTATTGAAGCAAATACTTTTTCGTGCTCTTTTAATAATTTTCTAGTTTCGTTTAGGATGTCGATTTTTTGCTTTCAAGCATTTCAGAGAATAATTTTTCAATACAATTTATATGCATAACAAGACTTTGAACGATACAAAGAAAATTAAAGAAATTTTTTTTCCATAATAGTAAAAACAACAACAAAAACAAAATAAGTTTCAGCTAGAAAATTTCTAAGCTTTAAAATGCGTCGCCTTCTCGTAGAATGTTAGGTATTGAATCTTGCCTTTAAAAGTTTCAAATCAAAGCGTAATAATGGATTATGTTCGGACTCAAAAGGAGCATTTTTATAAAACCTTAATACAATAAATTTATTAATTTTGGCGGATTTAACATTTGACATATTTTTTAAATAAAACATGTGACTTAGAATGTCACACCTTTTTTTGAGCTTGCATGAGATTGATAACCTTCCTTTTTAGCATCGGGTGTAAAAAGTAAGTTATTTTAAAACTTTTTTTTGCATTTATTATTTCAGGCAATTTTTTAGCCTACTTTATCACTATAATCGGTTGAAATTTGGCTATTTTAAATTGAGTTTTCTCAAAGACAAATAAACCAGTTGTAATGATTCTCTTTTTATAGTGATGCTTACATAAATAATTTTTATTTAAATAAAAATAAATATAGCCTAAACTTAAGGATGTGCAAGTAATTAAGTTTTTTGTAAAGTAAAGTAAAGTTTTTTTATTAAGTAAAAGTAAAGCCCCCATTATCTCCACAAATTTGTTTTGCGCCACTTTTTTTGTAGCCATTAATCCATAAATCTTAGAAATTTTTAACACTGTTTTCACATTTGCCTTATTTCCTAAATATTTCCTTCACAATTGTCCTGTTTGATAACTCGCTGTTCAGGACAGTTTAATGGATTAGCATTTGTTGGAACAAAATTGACTCTTTCTTTTTAATACCGCAGAATTTTTATTTTGGAATAGTAGATCAAGATCAAAATAAAGTTGATTATTTGTGCTTTTTAAGTGGAGGAAGAAGTTTATTTTTGATTTTTAACTAGAGGAAAAAGTGTTTTTTTTAAGCATTTCCTCACATATAGATCTGGTGTCAAAGATAGATTTCTTATGAAAGGAGAACTAAAACCTCAACTGCAAATTGCCTGCCATACAAGGATCTCAAAAGTGATTTTTTTACTGTATGTACTTAAATTTGTCAGAAGCTTTATATTGTTTCGACTAATAATAGTATTGATTATCTGAAAGCATTGAGTGATCCTTTTTACAGTAAGTTTTATTGTCTTCTAAAATGCATAAATTTTTATTTTTAGTTAATTTAAGCAAATTTTTAGCTCATCCAATAGCCTTGATTTCTCCATCAAGCGACTTTTTTGATATTTTTTTCTTGTAGTATTCTATCAGATTTTTTTTTTGAACACTCTTTTAATGAAAGCTTTATTGCATTTAAACTTCGTAGCTAAATCTTGTTGTGACTGAGTTGCTCTTTGATGAATTGAGTCGAATATTGATTTTGCCTTATTTTTAAATATAAATATTGATTTTCCACCATTTTACGATTTTATTTAACAGTTTTGTTTTTCTTATAACATTTTACAATAATTCCAACAGTTGATTTTGAAATTCTTAGTCGTGATTAAAAGTTAAAAACATTGCATAAAAAAACACAATTTTTATTAAATTATTCATTTATTTTATCAAAATATATTAGTAACCAATACCAGTGACAAATATGATATCTTTGAAACATTAGTTAATATTTTATGAATTAAATACTTGAGGTTAATATTTGGTATGATGTCCTTTAGCATTAAAACTATTAGCTAAGTGGGTAAACATAGCCTGAATGAGCTTTTTTAAATATTCAGGAGTCATAAGTTGAGTCCGAACTTCGTTTTTCTTTAAGTATTTCAAGATAAATGTGGTTATTTGTTGTTGTGTTAGGGAGGCATAAAACATAAACAACCACTTTGATTTGCTGTAATGGCACCCCATATCATGATTTTAGGGGAATGTTTTACTGTTGAAAACAAATACTGGGGGTTGTATGGTTGACAAGGCAGGCGTCTAATGCTTGTAGAACAACAATTGTTCTATTAGCGATTCATCACTAAATATTATATCAGACAGAAGGCAATTCAGTCTCTAATTTTTTTTTGAGAAAGGCTTTTTTGCTGGAACATGGCTATTTAAGTTAAGTTGTTTGCACAAACATCTTTTAATTGTCATAACACTTGGTGCAACACCAGTTGATAATATCTCAGATAAAATTTCAGTAACACTAGCAAACAGATGTGCTTTTGTATAACGATGAATGCAATTATCTGCCCTTTGAGTAGTCACCTTTGGTCATCCAGTTCTAGATTTGCTTTTAAAATCACTAGTTTCTTAATATTGCTTTAATGTTTTTATAATGCAGCTATGTGTTACATTAAAATTTTCAGCAATAGAAGTCAATCCTTGTTCACTTAGATTTACAATCTGAGCACGTTTTTCTGTTGTTAATTCATTAGTTTTTCCCATAATCATTTTTTCATTTTTTTGCTAAAATAACAACAAGCGATGACTAAAACAATTTTAGAAGTTTATAACATAATATTTTGCATATATATAATAATAATACTCAGAATTTTTAATGTAGAAAATATTTTTAAACAAGTATTTTGAATTTTCTGCAAATTTTTAAAATGTTCCAAACTTTTGATTGTGACTGTGTATGCTTTTGAAACCATGGAATATGAGAACAATGGATTTCCTATGTAAAATTTCAATTTTTTTTTTTCAAATTTTTGACTCTACTTAACATTGCAAAAACTAATGAGGAGTAAACAAAGCTACACAAGAAAACTAATTATGTTAGCATAGCATCATTATGAAAAAAATATTAACTCAATTTAAAATTGTCAAAATTTCAACCAATCATGGTGATATGTTTGCAAAATAAGTGCGCATTTATGCTAAACATTTTTTCTAATTCGATTTAGTAGATCAATTAATCAATATATTTTGCACAGATATTTATAGAAAAAAAAGGTAAATCTAATAGGGTTTTGTGAAAAGATTTTTGTGAACAGTTTAGAACTATTAAAAAAGAAATAAACAGTCAAACAGTCAGACAACTACAAAAGAATATATATATATATATATATATATATATATATATATATATATATATATATAAATATATATATATATGTATATATATATATATATATATATATATATATATGTATATATATATATATATATATATATATATATATATATATATATATATATATATATATATATATATATATATATATATATATATATATCAGGGAGTTACCCAGGAAAAAATTTTATACAGCGTTTTTGCGAAATTGGGAATTTAGGTGCGGGAAAACAAAAAAAAAATGTTCCTTACATTCTGCAATTAAATTTTAATCAAAATAAATTTTCTATTTTTGCTGGAAGTTACATTTACAGCAGGATTATTTTTTCCACTTTTTTATATGTTTAATTTATCAACTTGTTTAAATTAATCAACTTTTTAAATTTTTTAATTGTTCAATTTTAGAATTGTTTAAATTAATCAACTTGTTTCATTAAGAGCAATCTTTTAAAATTTAAATCGCTTCTTCTCTTTGTTTTTGGTATACTGCAGCCATTTTTCAAAACGCCTTAATTACGTATTTCTAAAAAAGTGCATTTAAAAAAAACTTTTAGAAGAAACTCTTTGTAAAACGCTTTAGAACTCTTTGAAAATATATTCAATAACGTTTGCGGACATCTAGACATTGTAAAATTGTCAAAATTTTTTTTTTTTTTTTAACAAAAGGCGTTTTGAAAAATGGCTGCTGTACAGTAGAGAGAAAAAAAGAACAAAAGACAATTGTTTGCAGTTTTAATTAATAAATTATTAAATTTCATTGAAATTTTGATCTATTTTAATTGCGTAATTCGCTTTTTAAATACAGGTTTAAACAATTAACTCTGAAAAATTATATTTATTATCTGAATAAATATATTATAAAAATGCGGTAGTAGTGTAGCGGTAGAGCGCTCGCTTTATAAGCGAGAGGTTCCGAGTTCAATCCCCACCATGTCCCTGGTAGTACCGCGCTCAACTCGTTTCTCTGCGCAGCGGCCTTGTTCGTCAAGGTTTGTGTTTCGGAGTTATAGAGTTGAAAGAGGGTTATATAACCACAAATAAGTAGCCTCCTTGTCTGTAGTGGTCTTCTCGGCCTTAAGAAGGTGAATTAATACAAAAAAAAAAAAAAAAAAAAATTGAATATATAACTATTTAAATACTTAAAAATTTAGTAAATTAGGTATTTAAATAAGAAATATATTTAAATACAAAATTATTATTATTTTTTTAATTTACAAATATACATTAAATATCTACGTAATGTTTGTATTTGTAAATTTAAAAGAAAAATTTTGTATTTATAAATATTGGCTAATAATTAGTAATATTATAATATTATTTAATTATCTTCTTTTATGTTTTACGCAAACATAACATAGATAATATGTTTCATTGCAAGTTTTATTTTTGATTATTTTGGTTGTTATCTTCGGTTTACTTTACTTGCTGTATAAATAAATTTTTTATTATAAAAAGTTGTTTTAAAGTATAATATTTATTAATATGCGAATTTCTTTGTAACTTTCCAAACTTAAGATAAACAGCAAAAACCTAAATAAAGAATTTTCGAACAATAAAAATAAATTAATAAAATAATTTATTAAACATATTGAAAAATCTGAACTCAACAATAAGTGACGTCAATAAAAATTTAAAAAAAAAAGTTTTTTTAAACTTTTGAATAAATGATTTTGTTAATGTTAATGACGCTTGTTAATGACGACACGTTTTTACACAAAAAAAATCGATCAATTCAATTCATTTTTTCGTCATGTATACTAATTTTTACTAGTCTAGCACGATACTTTAAATCTGAGACTGATTTAATTTTTTTTTTTTTTCACTGTGATCTTATATAATATATATATATATATATATATATATATATATATATATATATATATATATATATATATATATATATTAAAATATACTTTAAATTTCAGGGGCTATTCTGGGAAAGAGATTTTAGTGGCTGTATTCTTTGTCCCAGAAAAATTTAGTGTAAATATTGCTGATTAAAGGCATTTTTTTAGGAAAAAAAAAATATCTGTCTTAAAAATTTAAAAAATAAATCTTTATATTTTATTTGAGGCATCACCAAAATGTGGTCAATGCTGTCGAAAACGGTCTAGAATAGCTATAAATATATATATATATATATATATATATATATATATATATATATATATATATATATATATATATATATATATATATATATATATATATATATATATATATATATATATATATATATATATATACATATATATAATGAGAGAGAGAGAGAGAAAGAGAGAGACATACAGAGACAGAGATAGAAACAGACATATTT